AGTGAGGGAGCTGACAGGAGGGAGCGCTGAGCGCTTCCCTCCTGTCAGCCCCTCTCCCAATGCTGCGCCCGGGCGGTGCGGTCCGCCCTCATGGACGCACCGCCCGGGCAAAGCTGCAGCCGCCTGAGGCTCTCTACAGAGCGCTCGGGCAGCTGCAGCATGGGGGGGGGCTGGTCATGGCACCCCCCACCCTGGAGGCACCCGGGGCGGACCGCCCCCCCCGCCCCCCCCTTAGTACGCCACTGTGTATATATATTATATATATAATAGATATATACACATATTACATATATATACGTATAATTACAATAAATAAATATTATTGTAATTAAATAAATAAATTAAATATTGAAACAAAATTTAATATAAATTATATATTCATATGTAATTTCATTCTAACTGTATTTTGTTATTAATATATATATATATAGGTAACAAAATACACTTAGAATGACATTCTATATATATCTATCTATATATAAAATATATGTTTCAATACCTTGGGTTGTCTACTTTTTCATATGGTATGCTATTATGGGGGTAATATATTTGACCCTGTAACTTTCCAAAACACCATAAAACCTGTTAATGGGGGGGTACTGTTGTACTTGTGAGACATCGCTGATTACAAATATGTGCATTTTTTTTGCAGTAGAACCTAACAGTATTATGACATTAACAGCTAAAATGTCAGACGGAAATACAATTTTTTTTAAAAATCTTATTTTCTCACATTTTTTAAAATTTTATTCATAACTAGAAAAGCTACAATTTCTGGGGAAATTGTGGGAAGTGTTCTTGCCTCCACCAGTAGTCTACAACTGGAGTGGGTGGAGTAACTGTTATTATTTATTTATATAGCACATTTAATTGCAACGTTGTTGCCCAAAGGGCTTCACAGTTACATTAACCCCTTTAGACCAGAGGACGTACAATTACGCTCTATTTTAGGCGGCTCTAAACGCCGCCGGGCGTAATTGTACGCCCTCCGGTTTTTGTTAACTTACCCGGTCGCCGGCGGTCCCACGCCGGCGACCGCGGTGGAGGGGACTCCCAGGGAGCCCCCCCACTGCAGATCCTTCTCCTCCGGTGACCCCCGGCCATGTGAGAGTGGGGTCCTAGCGAGGACCCCACAATCACATGGCTGGAGGTAGCTGCCTCCTGCATTGCCAGCAGGGGGACTGCCTGTAATGACAGGTGGTCCCCCTGCTGGCTGAAAATAAAAATAAAATTAAATTTATTAGTGTAAAAAAAAAATATATACTTAGATCATATATATATATATATATATTATATATATATATGATCTAAGTATATATATATATATACACATATACATACACACACGTACACTGTCTAGGTGTATTTTACTATTAATATATATATATATAATTATATATATATATATATATATATATATATATTAATATCAAATTACACGTAGACTGATACTGATTAAATATATATATATAATTATTGTTTTATATATATTTATATATAATATAAAAAAATTAAATATGTAAATACGTTAAAAAATAAAATTAAAAAAATAATTTTAAAAAATTAATTTAAAAATATATAGATGTGTGTTATTTCGTTCTAACTGTATTGTGATATTAATATATATATATATATATTTATATCAAAATACACGTAGAACGAAATAATATATATATATCTACATACATAAATATATACGTATATATCACTATATATATACCTATATATAAATAAAAATATTTTAAAAAAAATTATATGGATATACATATATAGATTCACATACGTATATATATACATATATTAATTCTACATATATATTTATGTAATATTTTTACATAAATAGGTATCTTAATTAATTACAATTAGCGGGACCTGCCTGACAACCCATGCCGAAGGTAAAGGGAATTTAATTTGCTAGCACTATATTTAACCCTATAACTTTACAAGACACCATAAAACCTGTACATGGGGGGTACTGTTCTACTCGGGAGACTTCACTGAACACAAATATTAGTGTTTCAAAACAGTAAAATGTATTACAACGATGATATAGCCAGTAAAAGTGATGTTTTTTGCATTTTTCATGCACAAACAGCACTTACACGGACAATATTATTGCTGTGATACTTTTTACTGTTTTGAAACACAAATATTTGTGTTCAGCGAAGTCTCCCGAGTACAACAGTACCCCTCATGTACAGGTTTTATGGTGTTTTCAAAAGTTACAGCGTCAAATATAAGGCTTGCGTTTCATTTTTTTCACATTAAAATTTGTCAGATTGGTTACGGTGCCTTTGAGACCCTATGGTAGCCCGAGAATGAAAATTACCCCTATGATGGCATACCATTTGCAATAGTAGACAACCCAAGGTATTGCAAACGGGGTATGTCCAGTCTTTTTTAGTAGCCACTATGAAATAGGTGAATTACGGTTGGACAGACATGTAGCGCAAATGCCAGGTTTTGTTTACATTTTTGTTTCGTTCACAACGTGTACATTTGACTCCGTCCTTAAGGGGTTAAAACATACATTTATAAAAACATTAGCCGGTGTACAAAAGACCCTGTCTATGACATCACTTGCTGCTCCAGCCTGGCACAGGTCAGAGTATTTTGGCAGTTGCCATCTTCAAACGGTCGTATTTTAAAAACTATAAATCCTACACTGAAGAGCTTTATATTGTGAGAATCACAAGATCCAGCCCTACATTTTGATGCATAGTATGTCTCTGAAATATTAACAATGAAGGCACAGTCGCAGTTTCGAAATTGCCCTTCAAATTTAAGCTGGCTGGAGTGGAGTTTCAATGAATGTCAATGGACAGCGTGAGTTGCAAACAAATGGTCATATCGTGAAAACTATTAGGACTATGGCTTAGCTGTGGACATTTTTAGTGGCAGCAGGGATAGCTGAACGTTTTGATATAAGATTTGTGTAGGTGGGCTTGAAAATGAGGGAGTGGTGGCAGTTTAGAAATCATGTCCTGATTTCACAGCTTTTGCCAGCTCCCAATCTAGTTTTGAACATTTCGTTATTCATTCCTATGGGACCAATTTCGCCACAAGAACAACCATATTCCGTGAACCATTCGGCGAAACGTTCCACAAAGTAATAGCACACCAATCGGGAACAATCCGCACGTTTTGGTATATTACTGTATATGTGGTGTAAAAACTGTGGGAGGAGTTAGGGTGGTAAATTTGGCTATAATAAGAATAAAAGTAATGTATATGTGAGATAACATTAAGTGGTCTTGCTATGCAAGAACACTTAATAATATATATGTGAGATAACATTAAGCAGTCTTGCTATGCAAGAACACTTAATAAATATGTGAGATAACATTAAGTGGTCTTGCTATGCAAGAACACTTAATAATAATATATATGTGAGATAACATTAATTGGGCTTGCTATGCAAGAACACTTAATAAATTATGTTCCATATATGAATAGTTAATGATAAATTAAAGCCCTGTTTCTCCTGAACAAAATGATATATAATAAGTGTGGGTGCACTTAATGTGACAGCGGTGAATTACGGTTGAACAGACATATAGCGCAAATTCCAGTTTTTGTTTACGTTTTGTTTTGATCAGAACGTGTACTATTGACTCCATCCTGAAGGGGTTAAATCAATATTGCACTATTGTGTTTTCTTCTTTCTTTACATATATATATGTGAACCAACTTCCCCACGCCTGTATTTAAGGGTAAGCATTCTAATGCACAAATACTATTCTCAGCACTGTACTTGCTCTTTAGTGGTTTATATGAAGGGGTGTATCACCTAAACATTGAAGTATTAGTTTATATTTTTTGTCTTGTGGGATCAAAGGAGTATCCACAGAGTGCTATAGCTGCTAGATTATTATATGAGAATTTGTTTGTTTATTTGCACGAGATGCGCCATTGCTTTAAATCATGCGTAATATGTGTAATGCCTTTTAACGTAGATGCCCGGGATGTGTGCTGTCCAGTTATTACAGAATATGAGGAGTTGGACTGGATCAGAGATTTTAGTAATTAAAGGACGTTTTCCAGTATCTCTCAGTAGTAAGGGAGCTGAAGCTAAAGTTAACCTGTTGCCATATATGGTGTTTTGCACATCTCACAGACAAAGATAAGGCTGCTGTCATTGTGACACAGAGTGCCAGCAGGATACAAGTCAGAGCTACGCACACACCGATGACACTGTGAGTACTGAACTCATGCAGGTGACACCAAGATGGTAAGGAGATAGGAGGGATGTAATCTATCCTGTCATGTGGCTACCTGGGCTCCATATAATGAATGGGGAATGTATATATAAAAGAAGGCGTTATTACTTGCTCCATAAGATTACTATATCCAGACTTTGTGTTTATGATTTGCAACTTTCAATGAATGACAAAGAAAAGTTCAAATGATAGTATACTCATAGATTTTATGAGAGAGCGATTACAAAATGTAATTTTTTTGTTACTTTTTATTAAATTTATCTTAATCAACAGTTATTACGTTTTTTAGTCTATTTTTTGTTTAAATTATGATCCAAACTTTGCCCAGATTTCTGGAAAAAAAGATTATTTACGTTATTCTATGTGTAAAACATAATAGGAAAAAAAAAATCTCCACCTATAACAACAAAACTACTGGAAGTCAGAAGGTAACTCTCCACCTCTTGTGAAACAATTGGTCCATAATGTACTGCTGTTTATCTGACAAGAACTGAAGGGAAGGAGTGCATGTTGACTCCACCCAAAATAGAGATGGCAAAGGATGCTGGGAATTATAGTTTATCGATAGTTTCTGCAGCTTGTATTTTGTTTCGCGGTTTAAGATCCTATCCTTATTGTCTCATCCAGACATGTTTTTTTTGCCCTGGATTCTGAAGTAGACAGTTTGTGATTTTCATGTTTAAAATTTAGCTCTTTTTAATATCTGAATATAATGATTGTTTTTTAATACAGGAGGCTAAGAATTTACTAAAAAACATGTTGAAAGATGGTGGAAGTAACATTGACCTCAAATCCAGGAAAGTTTTAAGAACCCTTACTAAGAAGAATCCCAGTGACCTTGTCCTGGTGATTGGAACCGGGGTGAGTGCGGCTGTAGCCCCAGGTGTCCCTGCACTCCGCTCATGGCGCTGTTGCATTGAAGCTGTAATAGATGCTGCAGAGCAGTTTGAGGTATTGCACCCTGGGGATATTGTGGAATTCAGAAAAAGGGCGCTACGTGAGCAAGACTTACTAGTTGTCGCACACGACCTGATCCGGAAAATGTCACCACGAACCGGTGACAACACACCCAGCTTTTTCCAAGACTGCCTAATGGAAGTATTTGATGACCTAGAAACCCACATCCAGAACCCCACCATTCTCGAGTCGATCATTAGTCTAATGGATAAAGGGGCGACGGTACTCACTACAAACTATGATAACCTGTTGGAGCTATATGGGCAGAAGATAGGAAAACCCATGGAATCGTTAGACCTGAATGATAAAGCGAAGGTTATGCAGTGGGCACAAAGCCGCCTTCAGTATGGTGTTTTGCATATCCACGGATTGTACACGAGACCCTGTGGCATGATTCTGGATCCGTCTGGATATAAAGATGTTGCACAGGATAATGTACTGCTGGATGAGCTGCAGAGTTTGTACTGCAGAAAATCTTTTGTTTTTCTTGGCTGTGGAGAGACTCTGCGGGATCAGATTTTCCAGGCACTTTTCCTCTACACTATGCCAAATAAAGTCAGTATGGAGCATTACATGCTGGTACGGAAAGAAAACGCAGATGCCTTCTATAAACTTCAGGCCGATATGCTGCTTAATGGAATCAAGCTTATGTCCTATGGAGAATCATTTACTAACTTTCCATTGTATTTAACAGGGCTATCTGCACTCATATGCAAAGCCTGATGAAACCACCGGTGCTGGGTAAACCCCTAAGTTGAAGTCCTAAAATAAAAGATGTTGGACTCTGATTACCAAGTCAATAAAGGGCTTCCCAATTCTTAAATGTCTGTGTCCAACCAAAGTGACATTTTGTATGGAACTCAATGTATGTGACAACGAGTTGATTAGATATTTTGAGGATTGGATGAGTAGTGGCAAATGTTTATGCTCTGTATCTGTATGGGACAAACTTGTACCACTTTCATAAAGAAATATCCATTCACTTTCTGAATAAAAACACATATATCCAAACACTGACATTACAGGTTACTGAGCAATAAGAATACTCGGACCTGTCTACCTTGGGAGGACATTTAAACACACTTATGTATTTCTTATGACTGTGCAACACTGTGACAAGTTTCAATGGAAGGGGAACCCAAAGAAAACATAGCTTTCAGAACTTATTTTAACGGATTATTAGTTTTAAAAAAATTTAGATTTTGTATTTTATGTTCTAAAATGATACAAACTGCTGTGGGAGCTTGCCAGCAATGGGGTTAAAATGGGATGCTATAAAGTCACTGGACAATGGTAAAACTTTCTGGGTCCTATACAGAACACAGCATTGAAATCAGTCTCCAAAACAAGCCACGTTTGTGAATCATCAAAAAAAGATACTGTTTTACAACAGTTCAAAAATACTTTATATTTGCTGAATGCTATTTTTTTTTTCTCAAAGGTTTAATGTGAAAAAAGAGGGGTAAAATAGGAGAAAATAAAGGGAAAGATATAAAGAAAAAAAAATTCAAACACAGGCATTCAGTTAAAAATATGCTTCCAACTAATAGCAGACCCCAAAAGACGGGGTCTCTTGAACTAAAGTTCCATAAAACACACCCTCAAAGCAGATCTAGACAGGTAGAATTCTAAACCTACTTCATGGATGGGGTAGTTGCACACTGTAATAATTAATGTTATGCCCCATCATCTGTTTCTTTTCCAGGCCCTTCTGGTGCTCCTCAAAAAGGGCTAACTGGCAGGTCTGCATTTTTATATGGGGGTAAAATACATAGAATAGCAAGACAAGTGATGTACCACCCTAGACCTAGAGGAGGATCGGGTCTTCAAAATTTATATATGTATTACGTAGTTGCACAAATACAATGCTGGATGCTGGGTGGACCTGGAGTTGGGGTTGATGGGCTCTGATCTACCCCAGATTAACATCTGACTAGACAGAAATCATAGTGCCCTTCTCCGGATGGACTGTCTGGCTGTCCTGACCTCCATAGCATTATGGGATAGAGTAAATGTAAAGTTGTCCCTCGTCTTTGACTCGTTTCCTATGATCCCCATATTATGGAGCAGGGAATTTTCCCCAGGCATGGTAGCTAGGAACTTCACAAGACTAGAGAGAGATAGAGAAATGTATTGTAGAGATTTAAATTTCTCAGAATGTGTCTTTTGAAGAACTATCCTGGGTGCATCAACTCTTTCCAAAATACTTCTTCAGATATATGCAACTTAGGGATTTTGCATTGAGTAGTAAGGCCCAACAGGCAGCCACACAGAGCTGTTCCTTTTTTTAAACCCTATGTGAGGAGGGGAGAGGGCAGAAGGGACTGATATAGTGCTATATATTCAGAAACAACTGTGCGGGGGGATTGGCCTATGATAAACAATAGAAGAGGGACTTGGGTGGCAAGGGACAGAAGAGCAGGCTTGGTATGGCAGGATATCTGGGAGGCTACGAGTATGGTCGCAGTCTGCATGTGGCTACAAGAGCAGGCAGTTAAGATGGTGATGAGATGGTATACCACCCGGCCAAGTTATAAAGAATTGTGTTGTAAACTATGTGGGGCAGAGGACACTTACTCTCACATGAGGTGGAATACACAAAGCTGGGGCCATTCTGAGAGGGTATCCAAGACCTGCTGACTCATATTTGTCAGACTGTGTGACCTAGACCCCATGGGTATATCATCTGTCCAAAGCTGTGGAGGGACTACCTGCTCACTCGCAGAAATTAATGAATAGAATAACATTGGTGCCAAGGAGGGCCCTCGAAGCCAAGTAGCTGAGTTACATGGTCCCTAGGATGGCAGAAGTTAAACAGAGAATAAAAGATAATTATTTCAAGCTCGGAGCTATAGGATAAAACTTTATGCAGACTTTTGAAAAGGTGTGTGCCCTTTGCGTGAAGCTGGAGGGGTAGGGGTGATGGGAGAGTGGAGGGCTCTTTTTTGATCCCACAATGAGTCCTTCCCAAACGTATTTAAATTGTTCAGTTTAGTTTGATATTAATTTATTCTGAAATGGCTGGGTATTGTTTGGTTATTCTGTACATACGTCTAGAGCTTGTTATGGCTCCTAGAAATAGAGGTAATGGGATAAAGGTTTACTCTGCTTACCGAAACGAAATTCCTCCACTGAAATCTAAAGAAAATCTGTTGTGTAAACCGTTGCTTTGCTAAGGGAATTCAACCCATAAAGCTAGCTTCATAACTAAGTTTGTCAATACTGCATGGCCTTAGCTGCTATTGAAATTAATTGAGACCTAAAAGCACAAAAAATAAAGTAATTAAAAGGGTGGTCTGGCAAAGACGTCTGACAATTATCATATCATATACAATTTCAGCCATGTAACAGCTGCAAATGACAAAATGAAGCAATTGCACCATTAAAGCTTCCACTGATAGGAAGGCATCAAGGAGACACATACACTGCTGTTGGCTAACAGTGCTATGGCCCCAAATCATCAGCAACTGCCTGAAGGCCCCAAGGACAAGTTCCTTTGACCTGCAAATTATAGTGAGTCTTTTGTGTGCATAAGAATAGACGTCAAGAATTTGCACTGGTAAGCACAACTTTCATTAGGTAATATATATCACAGTGACATTTGTTTTTTTGAAATGTGCAGTGCTCTGAAAATATCACGAAGAACACAAATGTATCCAGTTGTCTTCATCTCCTTACAACTCAAGCTTGAGTAGTTAGATTAAAACTACAAAACACTAGTAAATTTCAGATTTGTGACGTCTCAAAATTATTAAAATTGGTCATGAAGCTACCTTTTCCTATTATAAATAATGGTGAGTGATTTAAAAATGCAAATTAGACAAGTGGAAGGTACATTAGTGATGGGGAGAATATGGGTCAAAACTACAACATCATTTCAATCAATTCCACTTAACAGAATTCTAAAGGTTATGAAACTGGTCAACAGTCAAGCTGACAGTTTATTGCCTGCTACTACTTCTTTCCATCTGCTGACTTATCCACCATCCAATCTTACAATATCTACCAGGGGTATTTGTTTCGTCCTTCTACCTTAGAATGAAACAAACTTCCTGAAAGTACCCGTGTTATTGCCTTGGATGATTTTAGAGTTCTGAGCTCAACCCTTATGTTCTTTTCTTCTGGTCTTTGAGTGCATTCTCCTACAAAATCATCCAATGTCTTGCTATGTGCAGTCACTATCCTTCAGTTTTTACTGGTCCTCAAAATTGACAGTTTTTTTTAGGGTTTTCTTCATTATCCTTCACATTTACTTTTATTATTAATGATATGTCTATTGCTAATTCCTGAGGACCTTGTATACTGAGTAAGTGCCTCCTTCAGCTTTTTCTCATCTTTGTGGTAAGTTAGTACAATTGCTCATATATAGTTCCGTTTGCTAGGAGCCTATGTTTGGTCTTAATTGTACATGTATATCCACTGAATAGCACTTTGAGTCCATCATTAGCCAAACATTTCACTCACTGAAAGTTCCTTTGTAAGCTTGGAATATAGAATATATTCTTTTCATGGGGATTCTGTGGCTGCCTTCTGATGGTGTGATGAAGTTCAAGAATCCACTACATTGTTTTCAACTATGCTGCTCTTCCTATGAGCTAGGAAAACTTTATCAAATATGAAAGTGACTTGGTTCTGGGGTGAAAGGGTTAAACAAATTCACTATTTGTCTGCACTATTTCGTATACCAAACAAAGGCAGAACTTAATATCATATTATCAAAATAGTCACAGTGTACACATAAGAAAATGTTGATGATAAGCACATTATTTACACCAACAAACAGTTGAACATAAAGATGAGAAATTTAACAGAAAATCCTAGTTACTTTGTTAGTAGTATAATTGTTTATTTTGTACCCGGCGACTCCAGGAAGGTAAATAGAAACATACTCAAAACTGGAGTAAGCACATGGCTTCACATTCCATAGACCTTGCACCCTTTTCCCCATCTTGAGTTTTCAAGGCAGCCTTGAGGGAGGTACAAGGCAGAGGGTAGCAGATCTTCCAACTGCGGAGTCCTGTGAATTGAGATGCTGGCAGGAGGGAGGTAAAGAAGTCGGGCAGTGACGTAATAATGTCAATAGCTCCACACCAAAGGGGTGGGCCCTCCTGGAAAGGACACCAGGGAATCGCACCTCACTTTCCATCACCTTTTGGCATATTTATACACAAATCTCTATAAAAGAGCTTTTAAAAATGCTCCAACTTCTTGCAGTGCGCCTGGAACAGAATTCATTTTTACATCTGTGGAAATGTCCCAAATTATTAATTCCAAAGACACCTTACAAGACCTATTTGTGACTTAGATAAGCAGACTTCCTCAATTCCCTCGAAGGGCTTAAGATCAACGAGTCATGTTTGGACTTTTTTAAGGAATACTCTCAGCATTCTGGATATGTATAACAGGAGACATGATTATTCATCGCTAGCTTACTATTAATGCTTTTTTTGGATATGAATTTGGATATGATATGACTTTGAGCAGAAAGCCTGGCTATCGAAAGGTCAGAGTCCTGTGTTGTAGCAGGGCACCAACAGGTGTGTAACCAGCAAATCTGGGGAAAGGTACAACTGAATGTCCTATGGGTGCAAAGTTTCGCACATGGCGAGATGAATACAGCTGGATATTTCTGCAGTGCAACAATGAATCATCCTTGCTGTGTGTGACAAAGAATATCTAATCGCATGTCATGTGACTCTTTGCCACTGAATTAGTGTGCCTTC